CGCCCCGGGGCAGGTGTCAGACAAGAATGACATCGTCGGATGTGTCTGGGTGACGGCCGCAAGCCAAGGGCCCGGACGAAGGGCCCTCGCACACGCTCGCAGGCCCTCCAGGCGACACCGAAGCAAAGGCACTAGAATCCTGCTCCCATCGGAGGTCAGGCGGAGAAGTGGGGGCCTCGGCTCAGCGGTCCCGCGCTCGGGGTCTCTGGATGCGCAGCGTCCCGCCCGCTGCTTCGCAAGCAGCGCCAACCCCCGGGCGCCGACGGCAATGCTCGCGCGCGTCGGCGGCGTCCTGGTGGTGCAGTCGGCAATCGAGGCGCACTGCGCCGCTGCTGGCGGGGCGAGCGGCCGCGCGCACGTCTGGGGCCGCGGGTCGGACCGTGCGGGGGAGCTAGGCCTAGCTTCGCGGGACCCCCTGATCCAAAAGCGGCTCTCGACGAGCCTCCCGGCGCAAGCCAGCCCGCTCACCCCTGCCGCGGGTCGCTGCGCCTCACTGCGAAGGGCGCGGGTGAGCGTCTACCCGTCGCCCCGACGCCGAGAGAGCGTTCCCGCTCCCGGGACACAGCCGACCGCACGGAGATCGTGGACGGTGCCCCGTCTCGCGCCCCCAGGTCGCCTCCGCCCCCGCCGGCTAGCATGCCCCCTTCCAGCGATGCTGTCCTGGCCCGGCCTCGCGGGGAGAGAATCGTGCCGAGGAGGGGGTTGCCAGCGCGCCCTCAGCTGAGGAGGCCGCGCAGGCCACTTCTGGCGCAGGCGCACCCGTCTCGCACGTTCCCAAAGCGCGCTGGCTGGACTCGGAGCTCGCGGCCGTCGCCGCTGCAGCCCCGGCGCCCTCCGGGGCAGGTGATCCTCCCTTCGGCCCGCTCGGTTGGCATGGGCTGCTTCAGGGGGCTGCTGTTGCGGCCCCGCAGGGAGCGGCACGTCCCGCCCGAGGCGGTGCCGAGGGAAGAGTGCGGCCCGTAGCCTTAGGTCGGGCATGTCCTCCTACAAGGGAATTTGGGACGAAAGATCAAGAATAGCCAGAGAATATGCAAAACATATTCAAAAATAATCAGGAAATAGTTCCCAAACAACGTTTTGACCATCTTTGAATACTCCTCCTGTAGAGGGACATGCCCGACTTGACCGTAGCCGCAACAATCGCCATGGCGAACGCGACCTCGCACTGAAGAGTGCGGCCCGTATAGAAGGCAAAACATATCCACCCCCCTCGTTCTCGTCAGAACTTATCCCCAGCAGTCACCCTCGGACACTGGGGTTCGTCACCAGCTCGAACTCGATCGATAGTGCCGACAGCCGCTATCGCCGCCCCCACCCGATGCCACTGCCGTGGGAGGGAGCCGCACACTTTTAGCTCGAGCCCAAGCGCCGGCGCTGCACACACGCGTGTCAATATGTTCAACACACAGAATCTACACTCGTGTTATTTTCTTTGACTAAGCGTGGCTCGCGGCAGGCGGGCGCCGGGCATAGCCCTCAGTTCAACAGCAAAAGGCAGGCGTCGTCGCAAACCGCGAAGATGCCCGTGCTCGCCAAAATGGCGGTGTGGTAGTTCTCCACGTGGTAGCTCACGGCGGAGATGTCGAGCTCGTGCCCTGGGCGGAAGTCGCCCTGGTCTCGCCGGAGACCTTCTGGTACATGTCGCGCAAGCGGATGGCCTTCATCTCGGCTTGCACCTGCTTCTCCTTCTCAGCACGGAGGAGCTTCTCCTGGGCACGATACTCCTTCTCCTGCCGCCACCAGTCGGTGTCGGTGTCCACCAGCAGTGAGCCACACTGCATGCACCTCAGTTTGTCCTTGTACTGGTTGCTCCCTCGGGTCGTGAGCTTCTCCTTCGGGTGCTCGCAGTGGTCTGAGCTGGGGTCGGTCTTGCCCTGGCTCTTCCCTTTGTGGCTGCTGCCGGACCCGTCCATCCAGAACTCCTTGTTATTGATTCCGCGTTGCACTGTGTCGTAGATCTTCTTGTCCTTCCGGCACACGGCGCAGTTATTGACGACCACCTCGTACGCCTCCAGGACACCTTCCTCCAGCACTTCGCCGAAGTCCTCCTCGATCTGCATGTAGGATGCGTGCTTGGTCTTCTCGTGCAACGCGCGTGCCTTCATCATGGCCTTCTTCGTCGGTGTCGTAGACTTCCGCCGCTCCTGGTAGAGTCGGTGTGGTAGCTTTTCCCAGTCACCGGCGTCATCGCCGCCTTCATCGTCGTCACCTGGTACTGGCGGTAGCTCTCCTGGATGTGTTGAGCACGATGATCGCTGGTTGGCCTTCTTGCGGGTTCGCGGTCCACACTCGCACTGGTCCACCACCATGCGGCACACCGCACACACAACCACCGTCGCGGCCGCGGCGGCGCCTGACTTGACCTCCTCGGTCTCGGCACCCGCAGCGTCCATCATGTAGATCTCCGCGACCTCGTTGGTGCCGTCCACCTTCACCGTCTCGGCCGACTCCACGATCGCACCAAGATCCTCGGTAACATCCAGCTTGTCCTGCATGTCGCCCTCGTCGGTCACCTTCGGCTTCTTGATCACGTGCTTCTCCGTGAAGTCCTTCTCGTAGCGCTCGAGGGCGGCCTTGGTCGGCGCATAGATCGTCAGCAGCTTCCGAATCTGCGTGGGGATCCTCCTGCGCTTCGACACCTGGTCCAGGCCAGACCAGTCGACCATCTCCTCAAGCTTCTCGTAGTAAACGTCGTCCTCGCGCTGGCCGAGTGTCATACGCCACCGGAGGTATGGCTTCGGAGCAGGCTGTAGCACACGCGCGTTGTACCGAACGTCCGCGATGCACTCCTCGAAGTAGGTGTAGCCTTCGTGAACGTAGTGTTGTTCGGCAGGTCGCAGTCTCTTGGGGTACTTCGCGCGGTAGTACTCGCCCCTGCGTCCCTTGAGCTCCATCCTCTGCTTGGCTATGATCTGGTCGGCCATGAGGTCCTCGGTGAGCCGGTACTCGCCGGTCTGGAGCACGTACCTCATGTAGTCGCCAGCGCGCACGTCGTTCTTGGTGAGGCAGTCGGCGAGCATCTGCTTCGTGTTCACCCACTTGCTCACCACGTTGTTGAACTCCAAGTCATTCCTGAGCGCCTCGATGTCGATCAGCAGCCGCCTCTCGGAGGGTACCGTCCCTCGCTTCTGGAGTAGGTCGTAGAGCGACTTGCAGTCCGTGACCTCCACCATCTTGATGGCCTTCACGTCCTCCATGTGAGTCCGGTAGCCGAGTCCGTAGTGCAGCTCCACCAGGTGCTGCCTCAGCATGTCCCCGCTCTCGACCGCCTCCAGCGCCGCCATCGTCTCGGCAGAGAGGGTGCTGCGGACCACTCGCTTGATGCGGTGTGATCGCCACAGCATGGGTGTGACCTTGGCCGGTCTCCCCTGCAGGAACTTGTCGTCCTTATTGTCCGCGAGCAGGATGACCAAGCCCGCCTGGCTAGCGGTCTTCGTCTTGCCCACGTTGCCATGGCTGGAATCCCCAACTGCAACCACGATCGCGTCGTCTATGTTGATCTTCTGGAAGGTGATGTCCACGTGGTCCGTCTTGGCGTCGCTCACCAGCTTGTTGAAATCCAGCAGGTCCTGAGCCTTCAGGTCGCTGTCGTGAGCCCTTGCCTGGCTTTCCACCAGCCGGAACGCCAAGTCCATGCGGGTCGACCGCACCAGCCACTGGATCTGGCCATTACCACTGTGGAGCATCGCCCTCTCCTCAGCAGTAGCCTTCGCCTCCTTGTTCTTGCGACGCTCGCTCGAGATCGGTATCTTCTCGATGCTCTCGGTGTACTCCTTCTGGCTGCAGGTGATGGTGCCATCGTCGTTCTGCTTGAGGAAGCGCCCGCAATGATGGAAGCCGGCCTTCGCCGTCTGCCACTTGCCGTAACAGTGAATCTTCCTCAGCTTGGCCACCTGGTTAGCGAAGAACTCGGGCGAGCCCGCTACCAAATCATCGTCCACATGCGTCCCGATCAGGCCGATCAGCTTCCCGTGCTCGTCATGGAAGATGAAGAGAGCCGGGCACAGCTTCGACCTTGATGCACCGGGCAGGGACAGTATGGTATCTCGATGCTCCTCGTACCACAGCAGTGGTGCGTCGTTCAGCCCGTAGATGCCCTTCTTCGCTTTCAGCACCGTCCCCTCTGGAACCGCTGGCCAGCCCAACTCGGGCACCGCTGGCAGTCCGCCTTTCGGCGCACGAAAGTACACGCGCCGAGAGTCGTCGAGGTACTTCCCGTTCAAGAACGCCGAGTCGACGTCGCCTTGCTCCAGCCTCCAGCCCTCCTGGCTGGCCGCCTCCTGCACGATCACCGCCGTGGCCACGTCCGTCAGCGTAGGAGCATTGGTCTTCAACTCCCCCGCGAGCAGCTGCTTGTCCTTGTAGCCCGGGACGATGTTCCTGGACTTCGCCTTGAGCGGATGCTGCTCGTACGACAAGTTGCCTCTCGTCGCCTCGTTCTTGTCCGTGCGGACGCGCCTCATGGGCAGGATCGCCGACTGGTCGACTCCCGCGAGCTCCTCGTCAGTGGGCCACTCCACGGCGTCGTACTCGACCCACTTGCGCCACTCTTCCAGGTCGCTCGCGTCGAAGGCCGCCTTCCACTCAGGTGGGATGCTGCGTAGCTCCCGGCCCTTCTTGGGCGTGACCTGCTTCTTCTGCGTGTCGGTCCTCCGAGCTAGGAACGCG